GAAGACTGGAATTGCCATTGGCAAGCGAGACCTCCAATATGGGGATGATACTCTTGAGCTCGGAGGAAAGGGAAAAGAATACTTTCGAAGGGAACAGGGACATGTTCCTGGGGTCTCTGAAGGACGATGCTTCGCAGGAGTTCTTGAAGGAATTCAACCAAGAAGTGGGCAGCGAGACGACGCTGGACAAATTCAAGGAGGAACTGTGGGACACAGTCGTGAAGTTTGGAGAACCGCTTCTGATAGGAACGGGCCTGGATGAGAAGGCGAGAAAAGAGTTGCTGAACAAGCTGATAGAGCTGAGGAATTCACGATCGAAGACTAGAGAAGAAAAATGTGAGGACACCTCTACTCTGAAACAAAAAACTGTAGATAAAATAGTTGATGATATAAAAGGGGATAAGGTTGGGACTAGTAATATGATTAAAAGTACTAATATCCTTAAGGCTCGAGCAGGGGGAGGCAAGAGTTGGAAGGGTTGGAGGTAGACAGAGAGGTCGAATCAGTGATGATAGCCACAACAACCTCAAGCAGAGATGTGAAGACTCGCAAAAGGAAGAGAGAAGTAGAGGGATTGGGTAGTCCTTCAGTGGATGCTGTCTCGGAAGGAAACTTGAGAGTGACGGCGCCCATGGTTTTGGCTCGATGCAAGACGGCGGCACGGAGCTCAGAAGACCACTCGAAGTAGAGAGGGAAATAGAGGCTTCCACCAGTTCGACATCGGAGTAAGACTTCAAGCTCCAGAAGATAAACGTGAAGAGAGGTTCAACGAGCGGACAGACATGGGAAGTGGATGTCGGCAAGGAATGGGTCTCGAAAGCACACCAGGCCACGGGCAAGCAAGTGACGAGTGATCCACTGGAGAGGAACAAGACGAGGAACACCTCCCGGACATGGTGGGTGGCCCTCGAGACTTTGAAGGAAATGGAGGACTGCTTGAAGAAGTTGGACAGTGGAGTAGCTCGCAAGCGACGCAATTGGGCCACCCAGCAAAAAGCCGAGGTTAACAAGATAGAAATGGCGAATCAGCTGAAGAGGTCTTGGCAGAACTTGTTGAAGGATCATTTTGAAGAAGCAATGAGGACACCCTCATCAGCACTGCCATTGATGGCGAATCCCTTCGTTAGAACTGCAGGACAATTAATGTTCACCTGGAGTCTGGTGGGAATAGAGTTGGAGACATTGACCTCGTATGACAGGCTGAAGTTGGGAAGCAAGAAGCTAGATGTGTATCAAGCACTGATGCAACACGTGGCCAGGGACAGTTCAGGCTTGAGCCTGGCTAGGAGGAAGGATGCCATATGTTTCTTGAGATGGATAATGTCAATGATGTCTGATAGCACCATCTTGGCATGCCACCAGAGAGCAAGCGGAAGTAAAACCATGGAAAAAAGAGTCTCAACGGTCATCTTGAACGTGTATCAGAGTACAGGAAAAGAAAAGGAAGATGGTTCCAGACTATCCCTAGAGAACCACAGAAAGCTAGACGAGGTACGGAGGTTTCATAATATGAAGTTCGAAGAAGAACATGATGTTCACCGTAACCTGGCCTCGTCAGAGCAGTACTCGAGACTCGGCGAGAAGGGGGAATACCAATACGTGTCGGGAGTGATGGGAATAGCCTACAACCCCTTCTTAGACTCAGAAACTGGAGGCGCTCACAGGAACCACGAGGTAGCGGAGCTACTGAAGTTTTGGACAGAAAGAATAGTGGAAATAGACGCGGTGGAGAAAGAGGAGCCGAGCCTGGGCCTGATTCTTGAGAAAACACCAGAGGTGGTGAGCATACCGCGCTCGAACAAGAGAGTTGAAGTGAACATGGGTGATGGAAATGGCTTGTTAATCACGAACTTGGGAGTGGTATGGAAGTTACTAAGACCCTCCTGGTGCCCACATCCCCACGCGAGTCTGATCGAGGAAACCACAGAGCGAGTGAGGCTAGCACCAACGGAGGATGAAGATTTGGCAAAATTGAGTGTGTTGCACAAACTAATCTCACCTCAGATGCAGGAGTCAGGCGAAAAGACGAACAAGCTCGGGTCAGCAAAGAAGATGGAGCCGGGTAGCTGTCTGGATTCGACGTGTGGGAACGGAGAGCACACCTGCGATGAACGGTCATGTGTCAGGATACTGTCCTTTCAAAAGAAGACCTGGTCACTTGGTTTGAAGACATCACGGAAAGGGAGAAAAGTGAAGTGCAAATAGTTGCGGAGTGTTACTCGAGAACTACGGTGAATATAGCGACAGCTCTTGGATTCTTCTCGAGAATGTGTAGTCTGCAGTCACTAGAGAGGCTAGAGTCTGAACACCATTTAGTGACGGCGTTGAGCGTAGAATCATGGCCTGGGGTCTTGCAGGTGACTCAAAAACACATCCGGAGCTGGAAGGTTGGTCTCGAGGCGGAAATGGGGTTTCCCATGAGCGAAGCTTATGGCCTGCCATTGAACGCAATATCCCTGATAGGGTCAATGATGGCCAATTTGTGCGGAAGCCACTACCCACTGCACATGGCGATGGTGGAAGCATCCAGCCAGCGAGTACTGGTGGACAAGGCCTTCTCGGTGCCCAAGTGCGTGAGGCTGGCTCGGGCATCGCATCACTCGCATAAGCTGTTGAGGAAAATCAGAGGGACAGTGCCGAAGGAGTTGAGAGATGACTTGAGTGAAATCTGGGGAGAAGAACTTTTGAAGTTGGAAAGTGAGAACACGAGCGATCACGAGAGACAAAACGTGATCGGAAAACCTGTGGGGGGTGCTCCAAACATGGAAGAGATTGACACCATGCATGAGAAAATGATAGAGCTTGAGCCTCTCTTGGAAGCCTATGGGGAGCGTAACCTCAGGAGCATTGAGATCACCCATGGAGAATGCCCATGCCACTGTTTGGCACAAACGGTGTGGTATCCAGATCACAAGAACCTTTGCCTGGTGTGGGATATGGAAGAAATTCGGTCAATCGGACTACCGGATCACCGGCAAAAGGTGACGCTCTTAGTAGTGAGTACGATGCTGGCTCTGAGATGGATAGAAGAGAATATAACGAAGTATCGGGAAGCGACGACGCCAACGGCTGAGTCAATATATGCGATAGACTACAGCAGGAGACTCGAGTTATTTGAGACTGTGTGCAAAGTATTCGCCATACCAATGGAGGTCAGACACGTATGGAGCCGCTTGAGGTACTTTCCTTGGTTTCGAGCGACACTGACGTCTTGGTTATACATGACAACGAAAGATCACATGAGAAAGCATCAAAAGGAGTATCGACAGTTCCAGGCCGAGATTGGGCCGGAAGCTTTTAAGAGACCCCTGTTAACCCATCGAAATGCGATCACGACAGGATGGAAGAGAGTGGGTAAAATGTCTAGAGACAATACCAAAGCGAGGGAATCGATACTAGAGGAGGACCTGGCGAAGACCGTGAGCTTGAGCCTGCACAACTCCTTTTGTTTGAACCGGGAATCTAGGGTGAAGGCACTACCCAACCAGGCAAAGAGGTTGCAGGAGCAAAGAGAATGGATGCGATCCTATGAACAGCTGAAGGCTTGGGAGGAGATTGTGATTAGCTCCGATGATGAAGAAGAACTGTTGAAACAGTTTGCCGTATCTAGTACTTCAGGGTGCGGCACCTCCAAGGCGAAGAGTGCGAGATGAGCGGATGGTTCGAATGGATCTTGAGTCTTGAGAGGGAAAGGGGCTTGAGTGTGGATCCGGGTGAAACCTGGGTTCACGAAAAAGAAATTTTAACGAATCAGATATTGTAATTAATATGCTATATCTATTATATAAATCAAAATAATGCATGACAATTTCCTGATTGAATAGGACAAAAGAAATTTTAAATAATTGGCTTGAAAAGCGAGAATTCAAGGGTGCAGGTGTGTGCAGATTTTGATTGCTGTTTAGCGATAGTGTGAAAATTTTACATGGCCGTGAATTTTGGGGTGTAGATAAGCTTAAGTCTGTTGCAAACTTCTGTAAATGACCACTGGCACTGTACCTTGAGCAACACTCGGTTTTTTGGGACTCACTGGCAGACGACAGCACGCGATGAGGACATCGATCTTGAGTCCGGGGAGTATGTGCCAGTCGGTCATATTTGGAAGTTTGACCTTAAGAAAAGCAAGAGCACTCAATTTTGGAGTGAAATTTAATTTTTCAAAAATTCGAATGGAGCCTGTCATGCACGATTTTCTCGCGATAACTAAAAGCCGAAAAAGAGAAGTCAGAACAATCGAGTAACAATCGCGGGAAAGTTGCTAGATAAAACAATGGGAAATTGCTATTCGCAATTTCTGTCACAATAGAACGAGAGTAGAGCTGTCCCATCTGAAACAGAGACAAGCGTATTCCCGAGGACTGGATTGTCATCACTCGATTGGATTATTATTTGAACTGAACTAGAGTGAACCTTCGGTGGAAAGGTGGACAGCTTGAGTGTCCCTATGGTTCACGAAAAACTACATTCTAGAGTTAAAACTTGTCCTTGTCATTTGAACATTAAAACTCATTTAGTTACATTATTTAATTCTCGAGTTAATTACCGACTGAAGTACTTCCCTTACTTGAGTGTGCTGCGATGTGAGTACTTAATTTAAATTTCTAGAGTGTGTTTTATAATTGTTATGTTGAGGTAAGGCGAGTTCCACTGTCTAATAAAAAGTAACTTAACGGATTGTTCCGACCCGGTTTTTAACGGCGTTCATGTATTTTGGGTATCTAGAGACCTAAGTATGGGGACGTTATTATTTCTAGAGTGGGAGGGATATTTTGGTAGTAGCCTTTAAGCTGTAACGGGTCGTAGTCTCATGTCACAAGCGAACCGAATTGGCTCCGACTGATTTGAGGTAGAAAAACACAAGAGATAGTGTCCCTGACTCTTGAGCCAATGGTTATAGGGCCTATTTTTCTTAAGCTTCATGTGTGACTGCAGTAGACGAATGTTACAAAAGAACTTGAACTTAACTTTGTTTTTTCAATCCGATGATTTATTTCAGAAAGGAAAATGCGAGACAGAAGCTTTGGTTTTGTCCAGGAAGCGTCAAGCGGAGGTGCGGCGCAAAGCTCTTCAGGTGGTGCAATATTTTTTAATACCTGCAAGGACGAGGAGTTCGAAATCAGAGACTCTCTGAAGGAGTTAAAACGACGTTTGCAGACAGATTACTCAATTCGTGAACCCCAGCGTGCACGAAGTGACAATCTTGACGAAAATGAACTCAGAGCCTCAAAATTGTTCATCACTTGTGGTCCGCGAAAAATGTTCACAAGTACTGAGTTCGCGCTGTTAAAACAGCACGTTGAGTCTGGAAATGCAGTGCTAATCATGATGGGTGAAGGCGGCGAGCCGTCTTATAAGACCAACATTAACTACTTTCTGGAGGACTATGGGATTGCAGTGAATACTGACAGCGTTATTCGCTTGGAGTACTATAAGTACCATCATCCAAAAGAAGCTCTCATAACTAACGGAGTTCTAAATCGAGGTATAAGTGAAGCAGCAGGGAAAACGTTCTCAATTCTTTCCTCCGAAGACGAGGGAAATAACTCACAGGCCATAAGTTTTGTGTACCCGTATGGCGCTACATTGAACGTGAAAAATGTGACAAAAGATCTGCACTCAGTTCCCGTCCTGTCAACGGGGTCTGTTTGTTTCCCTATTAACAGACCAGTAATGGCATTCTACGAAGATCCTAATTCAGGCGGAAGAATTGCAGTGATTGGATCTACACGAATGTTCAATAAGGAATATATAAATAAGGTACATTTTTGCTTCTGGTTGGTTTCCACATTTTATAAAATGGTCTAACTAAGTTTTTTTGGTTTAGGAAGAGAACTGGAAGATCGGAGAAGTGTTGTTCAGATGGTTGATGAAAGGGCCAGAAGAAGTGACCCTGAACAAAATTGACTCTGGTGATCCGGAAGTTGGTGATTATCTTCTTATACCCGATACAGGCTCACTGTCCGAGAACGTCAAGGTGAGCGAATAATTGGTAGTGTAGAATACCTAGAAAGTTTTATTTGTCGCATTATACTGTTTCACTTCAGACTTCCTTGCAAGAAACTGAGGAGGTGAACAAAGATGAGGAAAGCTTGTTCGAGGATACGTTATTTGAATTCGACACTTCATTGGTTCCTTTGGTAAGTGAACTCGCAGCTCAATCCATAAGTCTTGCATATAATCCATATAATATTTTATAAGGTTAGACGTATTTTTGAGTTATTGGTCAAATTTTGAAAAACCGTCGTTGCTGGCGTACTACAATGAATGCTTTCAGGTCATTGACGCTTACAAAGATTTGAAGGTTGAACATGAGCCTCTTACTCTGATTCCCCCGGAGTTCGAAACGCCCCTACCTCACTGTCAACCGGCGGTATTTCCGCCGACCTTCAGAGAAGTTGAGCCGCCGGCCTTGGAGCTTTTCAATCTCGACGAGGAATTCAGCTCCACTCGATCAAGGCTGGCAACTGCCTACAATAAATGCACTGAAGAAGATTTGCAATACTTCATTGAAGAGTCAGGAGATATTTGCAGTGTGCTGGATAAAATTGGTTCCAACGCTCCTGAGGATAGACCGAAAAAGATTCTTGAATACATTTTCAAACAAATAGTGGCATTCAAGAAGACGGGGTCGGCAGGAAGCGACGATTCAATGATGCGCCAGGGAAGCGATAACTTGATAATGGACTAATTAATAATTGAAGACGGCACAAAATAATTGAACATCGAAAAGGACTTTACAGAAATTGTTTTTTTTAGCTTGACGGGCTAGCGTAGATTGCAAATATTTCTGTAAAATGTAAATGTTTTTATGTAGATACGAGATTCACATGTAAATACTTATGTTAATTCAGTCTTTTCCGTAAACGTATTTTGGAAGCCCATACCTATTGTTTCAGCATCAAATAGTACAAACAGACTCTAAAACGATATGCTTAAAGAGAGTCTCAAACGATTTGATGGATAAACTCGAGGCATGTACTTTGTTAGTCTATGTCGTGGAAGTTCGATCTAAATAGAGTATCGGAATAATTAATGCAAATAATTTTTTCTGAAATTGAAAAAAATTTCTAGCTTCACCATATTGATTTGATGCTTTTCGGTCATTTTTTCCACAATAACAAACAAACGCTTGTTCAACCTAGCTTGCATAAATTAGTGTTCATCAAAAGTGCTAATTTTGGATCAATTGAGCAACCCCCCGGTTGAGCTATCTCCCACAAGCAAAAACGGTAAGACGTTACAAAAGACGTCATCAAGCGCAAGTAGATGGTTGATGGGCTCATAACACGCAATCAGCTGGCCGGCTGAAGTGTATTTAATATGAGTATCGAGAAAAAATTTTGCTTGGGCGGCCACTGCCTCATCTAGGAAAGCGAGGTGCCAGTGTAAGATATCAGACAGCCAAGAAAATGCTTCAGCAAAGTGGCTATAGATAAATATGCTGACTATTAAACGCAAACTTTGCACTAAAAAATGTAATCTACGGAAAAATGGACTGGTCTTATAATGTGGAAACAAAGAAGCGAAGCCGAACTTCGCACCATTTGCGATTTGATACAAAGTTTGAACGAAAATGAGTAATTGAAAAAATCAAAAGTCTATCAAGACTTAAGGCTGAAATAATTGAAGCTAGAGTTTAACAAATTAAAAACATATCAAAAAGGTGTCAATCATAAATTGTTCGAGAAATTTGAAGAGCTCTAAGGCAATCTATTTTTGAAAATCGAATTTTCTTTCGGAGGAAATTGAACGAATTTATCTTCTTTTGGTATCAAAATTATGCGAAGCTCATCTTTGCGTCTGCATTGAAATTATCTGAGTATAATGATGAACCGATGAAAAACTCAATCTTCCGGTGCTCAACAAAGTGTGTTTTCTGAAGATGAATCAAATGCTTCCTCCCGCCCCCAAAATTTGCTGCAAATTGTTGAGTTTTGTTTTTTGAAATAGATTTTTTTCGCACTTCGTGCTAGGAAAACTGTTCTCAGAAAACTTTGTTCTCGGCACACTCAATTTTTTTTAAAGCATCTATTCGCATTGGTACTACTATAGACGACATAACTAAACGAACTCATTGATACGTTAAACATGAACTTTAAATTACCTTGACCTCTAAGTTCCTTTTTCTAAAATTCATTTGATAAATAATAATTTGAATGCATTTTGTATAAACTAATCTGATTTACAATTTGAATCCGAAATATGCATTGTTCGTATTGATGATTAAATATCCATAATTAATATATCAGTTAATATATTAGTTCATTTTGACAACATAATTTCCGGGAAATAGTCCGAACTGTCCTGTTTTGGTCGACTTCCCGGCAAACCACCCGTCGGAACACTGTTCCACTACTAGGATTACGTCGCCCTTCATAAGTTGCAGCTCGTCTGCGTGTTTGGGCGAGAAGTCATGCATCACTCGGAAACTGTAAAATTTAAATGCGATTTAAATTCTTAGTTGTGATTTTATTTAAAACTTAAAAATTTTTATAATTAAATTAAAAATTCCTAAAAATTTTGGATATACGTTTTCCAAATTGCTTTCAAAGGGCAGCTGCAAACAAGCTTGTAGCCTTGCGTGTCCATTTGAATCGGTGTTGCAAAAATTGTTAATTTAAAAAAAATACATTGGGGTAATGGTCTCCATTCGTAATGTTATAATGATCCCTTTTCTGTTTGCAAATACGATAGCCCGTCGGAATTCTCAAAAATTTCAATCAATCTTTGAGGAGTTCATTGTTCGTAAACATGGTGCTCATTCTTCTTACTATTCGAGGCCTTTGTTGCCACCGTGCGGTTGTGTGTGGTTTGCTGATATGTCATTGTTGCTTTGAGTTAAATTGTTCTGGCTGCCTTTCTGGTTCTGCATTCGCCTTGCTTTGTCTGAAACGTTTCGAAATTATAGATGTCTGAATCCAGTTATACGTATAACTTTTCATTAGTGTGAGCACCGAAACCATTATTGGGTCAAAGCTATGCGAATCGGTGCCCAAAAAGGATTTTGTTTTTCTCAAAGTGAGCGGTTCAGACTCGATCGACTGCAAGAAAGTTCATATCTCTTATTTTTGTTTAAACGCAAGTTTAAACCTATTAGTGCACGTATTTTGTGACAAGCAAGCCTTTCTGGATAGAAATTTTGGAAATACAAGCGAAATAAAGGTGTTAGTTATGTGGGAAGCTATGCCATGCAAAGACAACAAAAGAACAATTATAAGTGAAAGAGGGATTATACATAATACTACTACCTGGATTGATCCAGTATCTGGTAACGACCAGAAAGTCTAAAAAGAAAGCCCACATCTTTCAATAGTGCAATGCGCGAAGCAAAATGCAAACACAAACAGTCCACTAGGGCACGAGCAAAAATTAACCTTCCCAAAAGGCAGCTCTCATCTACATGTATATTATTTCTGTCGTGTTTGAAGTAACTTCAAGGAAAGAAGAGCTCAACTTTTTAGTGGTTGGTCTTTGACGTGTATTAAAAGCTTAGTACACTTCCGAGAGCAATTCCTAAAATTACTTCCTACAAAGGTGCAAAGTTTTTCAAATCTGTCGGGGCTACTTAATAGACTTATATTGAGCATGTCTGAACTTTATATTTACGCTTGCGATTTCAGTTTTCTTCGAAGTATAAGTTTATGTTGGTTGTAAATTTAATCAGATTTTTTAGTTTTTTTTTTCACTCAAGCTTGTTGGGTCTCGAAAGGTTTTGGCTTGCCTCTTATCAGCTTAGTCGCCTTAAATCGTATCGTTTGAAAGGCGATAAAAAATTTTCTTTCGTTTGTGTGCAGGAGGGTGGTATGCGAATCTTGAAAACTTCAAGTTTCGAACTCTTTTGTGCAAAAGTTTTTTCAGCTCAATGGGCTTCGACCAAAGTTTTCTCGGCTTAGTTTCCGATTCATAAATTTTGTTTATTAAATTATTTTCTGCTAAACTTATTTTTTATTGGCATGGTTTCCTCAAAATTAACTTAATTCGAGGCAGAAGTTTGTAAATTTTGATAGACCTAGTATTAGACCTATTTTCCGAACCCTTTTGCGACAAAGTGTCTTTAGTCTGACTTTTCTGTCGACTAGCTTGCTATGTTTGTGATGTTTAGCAAGTGATATGAAGATCACTGTTGCATTTGTGATCAAAATTCATTTGCTCAATGGACGGCAAGTTACGCTCTCCAATAACTTCAGCGCTAATTGCACGAAAATATGTTAAATTTTAGAAATAATTCGTGAACTCATAATTTCAAAAAAAAAATATGGAAAAAACGGTCGCAGGTTTCGATACTGTTGATATAAGTAAAAACTTTCCAAATGTCTGTGTGATATGCTTTGACACACAACGAACTTTATCTGTAAATCAGCAATAATAATGTCCATCTCAAGCTTTTTTAAAGTTTTTTCTCGGATTGAGAAAAATTGAATGGAAGCAAAAGACGAAAATAAATTTTAATAGTTTGCGATTTACAGATTAATTTAAAATCTAATGATTTCAAAGGTAACAGAATTTATATCCTCGTAAAATTAAAAAAAAAACGTTTCAGAAAATGCAATACTTTTCAGATGGTGATATTGCGACTTCTGCGGTACAGATTGCAAATTTGTTGTAATTTTTTTCAAAAAAAACAGGAAGTGATATCCTGCGGACTATAACAATAAACAAATATGGGGGCGTTCAACAGTACCGAAGTAAACAAAGCCGAAACTGATAATGTGTTCAACAGTCTCAAAAAGTGATCATATTTGGGAATTTTGAAATCTTTTTCTGAATCTTTGGCAGTTTCGCTGAGATACTGTTTTGTTTTGGAGTGAAACCGACAAAAAAAAATTGACAATTTGCTGAAATAATTATTTGTTCAGAAAAGTTCACGCTGCCGCGCTCGGGGATTTTTTAATTGTTTAACTAGCAGCATCAATTAAAATAGCCATTTTTGTCTTTTTCAACATCCGTCCACTTGAATATAATTACTTTTCAGTGATTTTGAATAAGGAAAATGAGTTTTCAAATATTTTTTGGCACTGTTGGATAACATTTTCAATTTTGGCGCTGTCGTGCTTCGGCCCTGTTGTACTGCCACAAAAATATGTATACATATAAGTTTAAGATAAACCAAGTGCAAAGAAGAAATCGAAACTCTAAATAAAAATTTGGCGGTGCGACTAAAAATAAAGTTTCGCTGTGGGGACAAACCCGAATAAGCACTTCAAGAAAATCAGAGTTTGAAGGACATGTCTCAACTCGTACTTCTACAAAGTAAAAGATCACTCTACAAAAATTTTGGTAACCTGGAAGTTTTTCATCGGAATCAGAATTTAAACCAATGGCAGTGGCGTAACAAAGACATAGTGCAAAAATATGTTCACATATAATTTTAAGATGAACGAAGTGTAAAGAAGAAATGAAAATTCTAAATAAAAATCAAAATTTTAAATTGAACCAATGGCAGTGGCGTAACAAAGACAAAGTGCAATGAAACTTTCAACGAAAATGCGCTAATTTTTAATGGATATCAAAAATTTCTATTTTGCAATAAAGCCAAAAGGGGTTATGGTGTAGGATTGTATATTCAAAATTAGCACGAATATCGAATCATAAAGCGGACATCAAACCACCACTTACAAATTCTATCAGTAAAAACGTCAAAAGAGATTGAAAAATTGCTTTGCATTAGATGAAACTTTAGACAATATACAAGAACCCATGCTGAGTGTTAAAAGCCATAATTATGATTGAAGACATACAGTAAAACTTCTGAGCACTATTTTAATTCAAGGCTCGCAGGCAAGAATAAAGAGCGGCCCAATTAGAGAGGCAGCAAAATCAAGGTGGATCGATGTTTTTGCCTTACTGAAATAACATTTACTGCAATATCAGAGCATCATAATTTTATTTGAGGACTTGTAACACCTTGAGTGAAATTGATCAAAGTTACACTTACTTGTGAAAGAAAACGAACATGCCCTTAAAAAAGATTTCAGAACAATTACATTCAACGAACATGCCCTTAAAAAGACTTCAGAACAATTACAGAAAAAACAATTAATTCTCAATCATTTGATTTACAAAGACATACATTGAAGTGAAGATAATTTGTAATGACGCACGTTTATCTCAACTTGTAATTTGATTGAAATCTTGCGACAAGCTTTGAAAGTAATTCCTGAAAAAACTGTAAATTTTGCCCTGATCACAAAGATTCAGTGATAAATAAAAATGAAAGGAGTATAGCAGCCAGATAAAAAATTCTTATGAAAAAGTCAAGTTTGATGAAGCTTGGAAAACTTTTAAGACTATAGAAATAAATCAAAGCTTGCTTTTAAAACGACAACCAATCAAAAAAGTATGTTCCAATTAGCTATAGAAATTGATGGCCTTCTGTTTCCAGATTGGTTTTTACACTAAACAGAGTAAAAACCAATCTGGACACAGTGAACGACTACTTAGTGAGCATAGGTAAAGAACTGGCCTTAAAGTCTTAAACTACCAAAAAAAAGAAACAGTGAAAACAGTACTATAGAAGCAAGAAATTGAAGAAACAGTTTCATAGATTTTCGAAACTATGGAAACAAGCGCCCAAGAAATTTTTTTTGGTGAAATGATAAGTTTAAAAAACGAAGCAACAGCGGACTGTGAAACTTATTACCGCTATTTAAGAGTGAAGAAAAATAAGTGCGGAAACTACAGACAAGTCTCCTTTCTTCGAGTAAACATTAAAGTTCTTAAAAAGTAGTGTCTAACAAAATTACAATCTTTAACAGTGCAAAAAACTTTGTCGCCGAGTTAGTTTGGTTATAATTGAAACATTCTGGAGTAGAGGCCATTTTAGACGTTAATGAGAATATTTCAAATCATTTTTGTGCCAAAAATGACATCGCATGTACTTTTGTTGTATTGTCCAAAGCTTTTGACACTTGATCAGTCAATTCTTCTGGCAAAAATGTATCGATATGGATTTCGTTACCCAATACATGGCATCCGAAATTCGGACTTGAAAACCTATACCAATACGTTCATATTGAAAAACATTCATCTAGGAGGCGATCGTTTGCGTGAGGGATACTCCAAGGTTCTGTTCTGGGTCCCTTGCTGTTTTTGCTTCGTGTGAAAGATTTTCCTGAAGTATGTACCGATGTCAAATTAACTATTTTCACAGAAGACGCGACAAATTGTCTGACCCCATTAAAATTGTGGCTAAAATAATGTCAGACAAAATATGTTGAGTTTCATTATAGATGGAGAGCAATTAGCGTAGATTTAATGAAGTTACAATTCAAATTCTTCAGTTCCAGCCAATTTTGATTTTGATATTTTTTGAAATATCAAAAAAATAACAAAACACTAGAGCTAAACTACGAAAAAAAATATCTGGGCTTTACATTAGACAACACTCTTAAATACAAACAAAATATATATCACCTGATAAGTCGTAGTCATCATTGCTCACAGGTACGATATTTCACTAAACACTGCTTTGAGCCAAAAATATCTGTTCAAAGAATATAAAGCTTAAATTCAACCGTTGTTACAAGATGCAGTGCTGTTATCTGGCCTGGCAAACAAAAAACGTCCTTAAAAATTAATAATATAGCACTGAACAGAATATTGCTAATAGTTTTCATTTTGAAAGTAAAAACAGACACTACGAAAACTGAAAACTGAACTCAAAATGTTTACCTGTTGAGAACTGATATATGTAAGACAAAAACAAAACAAATACAAATGATTTTCAGTGAATAGTAGCAAAAATAATTTCAACAAATTTGGAAAAAAAATAATTTACCAGTTTTCGAGATCTTTATACAATAGATAACAAAATCTTTTTGAAATTATTCCGGTAAGTGGTGTTTGATTTGTTATTCTGATAAGTGGTGTTTGATTTGATTTAGTAAACGAATTCTGATGTTTTTTGCATTTTTTCTAATTTTATCTTGAAAAGGATTTAGAAAGACATTTCAATTATTTCGGTGATTTTATAGTAAATCAATTTTTTTGCAGTGATAAGCCGTATGAGTTGTGCAAAATTGGAATTTTTTTCTTATCTCTGCTCTTGAGGCATCATTGGACAGGTTAAACGCCTTTGACGTTCTCCCAAGTGTATTGGGGTGTTCATACACTAGGAAATTAGTTTTGATTTACTGAAGATCAGTTGGAATTTTTTTGATGACAGGTTCAATGACTAATTCAAAGTTAAATTTATATTAAACTTAGATTTTGAGCAGAAATTTTATGGTGCATTTATTTAAAACTTAAATAAAATGCATCAGTTGATTGCGCTATGTTTATCAGTGGTTCATTTTTTATATCAAAGCGAGCCTCTTTTTTGACCCGAGTCTACTAAGTTTGAGCAAAATCTTCAAAAGTTGCCTTGAATTAAAATTAAGTATTTCGTCTGGTAAAGTTGAAATTCTGGCTATCAAAGTGAATGAACATAATGATCTACATATCTACATATTTATATTTTTAAATTTTGTTGGGTTACCCCAGTGGTCCCTTTTCCATATAATTTACCTATTTTTGGGGAAAATTTTGCTAATATAATTGCCCAATATAAATTCTGGAAAAACACTTTTCGTTCTCAGCCCTTTTTACCAAATTACAACCCATTTTATAGAAAATGAGTTCAAACTTTCTCATTTTGATATTTTATAAATAAAAGCAGCATAGAATTAAATTTAGCTTCCCTCATTGTTGTATATTTCACAGAAAATAGTTTTAAAAAATTATTCGTTTCTAAAAAAAAGTTGTGAAAGCAACCAGATTGAAAGTTGCTGATGATTAGTAACTAATTTATTTCACTGCAGTTTAGATCCTACCGTAGATTTGTTATGGTACCATACAGTATCGTACCATTATCGTACAATTGTAGGTAGTTGTTGTGCAAGTAGCACATAATGTTCCTACCACACCAAATTCAGAAACGTCGTTCAGATGTTCAAAAAAGTTTCAACGCAATTTTCAACATACTTTTCTAATGGTTTTGGCGCTCAACGAATCTTTTCGTGAATATATTTTTTTGTTACCTGGTGCGTCTTCCATTTCATCGGAGATGACCTCCACGTAGGATATTGGGAAAATTCCCCTCCTCTGTCCGATATACCCATCGAACCAGTTCTCGTCCACTTGTTTCCGAATAGTCACCACCTGGTTTTTCTTCAGCTGAAGTTCCACGTCTGTCTGCGCGTCGAAATCGTAAATGACTCGACCTTTTCGCACCAAAGAATCACTTTTCTTTACCGCATTTGAAGCCCCATTTGGAACACTTTTTTGGGATTGGTCTTTTTGAACATTTTGCTTGTTTTGTCTTTGGAAATTATTTCCATTCATGAGCGGCTGTCCTTGTTTTTTAGGCTCTATGAACTCTTCGCTTTGATGCTGTGGTCTGTTTCGAGATTTGGAGTTTTCGATGTTCTGGTAAATTAACTGGCTGCTGGGCGATGATTGCCTGCTGCTTGCGGCGTTTTCGTTGGGCTGAGATTGCACTTGAAGTTGTTGAATTGGTTTCAAAATTGCACTATTTTTTGACTGCTGGCTGTCGACGTAGTTCAGATTGTTCGGGTAGTTGTTTTTCTGCTGTTGTAGATGATGATGAGGGGGATGATGGTTCGTGGCTCGGGCTACCGGTTCGCTTGCTTGTTGCTGGTTCGCTTTAGGCGCCACACTATGATCCGACTGAATTACCTGGCAAAGTAATAAATTCTAATGATTGTTCCTAAGCATGGAGTGGATGTTAATGTGTGTATTTATTTCTGCTGCTATGATTGAATCGCATTGCGTACGCATGAAAAAAGTTTTCAAATGGCTAAATAAGTTTGTTTTTGAAAAGTCTTAGTTTGAATTCACCATTTTCCGTTGTAATTATACTGATTCACTTTGATTCAATTGGTTATTATCAAAGATGGCGTTTTATAGCTTGCCGTTTCATTGTTGTTTCTCTTTTTTATACTCACTTTTATATATGTGACTGGGATAAGTCCGACTCTATTGCTGTTGTCGTTTTTGTTGTTGTTGCCCTTTTCCAGTCTGGCCTCTACCCAATTGGCATCCACTCTGCTCAGCAGACTGATCACGTCGCCTCTCTTTGCCTCCAACTCCCTGTGGCAGAAAAAGGAACAGATTCAGCATACGAAACAATTGAGTTACTTTTGAGGACAAACACTCACTATATTTGTATTTTACATTTTCTTTCAAGCGTTCTTAACAGTCATTGAAACCTTTTGCCAGTTTTTTTATCAGGACATATTGCTTAAAGGTACGGTTACAAGCAGATGTTGTTCTAAGGATTTTCTGAAGGTGGGGGCGGATTTTCAAAAAAAAAATTGAAATTTTGTTTTGACCTTTTGTTTAGGTCGACCAAATTAATTTTCGGAGCTCCCCCAATTCAGTAAAAGACCCTATTTAAACCACATTTTCTGCGCTGCCAAAAATTTTTGAAAAAACGGGCCAAAAAGGCGTTTTTAAGCTTTTTTTTTTTGAAAAATTTTGACGAAGAATTAGCGCTTTATCGGCGTGCGCTCCTATATCAGAGCCTTTATCGTTTTATCGGCGGTGCCTTAAGAAACATTTTAGAGTCGGTGAGCCGAAAATGGATATGTTATATAAAATAGTGCCAAAGTGGGGAGGAGGAGGGTCGAATCCCAGAGAACAAGGCATCATACGCCCCCCCCCCCCCCGCGCCTTCCTAAATCCGCTACCGCCTACAAGACAGTTCTCTTAGTCTAAAATAAAGTTGGGCTAAAAGACCACATGGTACAAAAGAAATTAGTATATACTTTTTATTCACATCAAAATACAAAGATTTATTACTGACCTCGGAGTATATGGTTTGAAGTTATACAGCACTTCTGCTCTGATTACATTCGGGTCATATGACTCGGCCTCCTGCTCTTTCGGCTTGGTTTCCGCCTTTTGCTGACCATTATGCTTCTGACTGGTCGGATATGTACCATAGTTTTGCATTGCCGGATTTTCCGAAGCGGAAGCCTTTGCAAGCGAGTTAGTCGACGAGTAGGCTGAAAAGATGAAAAAACTTCATGGGAAAATTTCTTAAATTGAACAGATGCAACGGAAATGTTTTTGAAGTTAAAATGGTATGTCCTCGGAGTTTCACTGGTACTTCAGGTTTAAACAATTCAATTTTTTTATTATTAGAAAAAAGTCAATAATCTTTGTATTTTGCTTTCGGTTCATCAATTCAACCAGTGAAGTTCAACACAGAATCAGGTACCACAAACAATCATCAGAATGTCTCGAGTGATGCATTTAAAAACGATCATATGATCTTTAGCCTAATTTTGAGCGAGTAATGCGAGCGATTTGGTGTTATAATAAAATTAGTTTTTATTAAAGCTGTAAAAAAAAATTTTTTTCTCCACGAAAAGAACTTTCAAAGCTTCATTTAGCACTTGAGCACTAGAAAGTTTTTTATATTCAAAAAATTAGGATGCATATTACAATTTTTTTATTTTTTTTAGCTTTTGCTTGTTTCAAAATTCATTTTTTAACGACAAATCTAGTCGATTGTGAATTGTTGATACCAGCATTCTAGGCTTTTGCCTTTTCTCTCATCACACCATGCACAAAATTGAAAAAAAAAAAAAGTATCTTAGTTTATGAATATGGTACATTACGAGGTCAAACTGGAGCCCCATAAGACGCACCCTTTGGTGCGTGTCCGCTCCTTTTGTGCTGGTGTATGTCAGCATTTTGTCGGCACGATCAAAGGAAAACACAAGAACAAAGAATGATCAAAGAAAAACACTCTTATTTCGGAATCCACATGAAAACACAAAAAGAAACAGTTTGACCTCGTAAGGTCGGAAACTTCTGTGTTACTTGCATAGCGAACTGGCTACTCTTATTTTAACTTATAAAGTACGATTTTGTTCCTTTGGTTTTGAGAATCATGTTTTAAAAGATTGAATGCATTGGTTCGTTTTACACATAATTAAAACATCTGTTTGATGGAGAGCAACAGCGGTCGCGTAGTGTATGTGAGATACAAACGTGATTTTGACTGAGGATTCCTGGAATTTGGAACCCTCGCCGGAGACCTGTGCAGACTGCTGCCTGAGGCCACACTGTCACGTGATGCCCTCTTGATCACTTTCTCTCTAGAGGGACTCTTCTTGGGACTCCCGAGGAACGAATTGAGAGTGTTTCCTATTGAACGGCAAAAACAACTAGGTTTTTGTTAGTTAAGTCGGTGGGCTGTAAAAATATAAAATTTTTAAAAAAGCAATTGGCCCGATTTGAATATTTTGAAAAGAAATCGGATTTTCTAAAAAAAAAAAAGCATTACATGAAGCGAAACTAATTTTTTACCGTTCGCTTGCTAATTTTTCTACTGTTCCGAATTTTTGCATTTAAGTACTAATATTGAATGTCAAACTGCTGAAAACGATTAATTTGTAGTGTTGATAAAATTTTCAGCGATCTTAGTCTATCCAGAAAAACGCTAAATATCGATTCACTTCAAGAAATGATCATTGTAAGGTGAACAACTGAGCAAAAATGTGGCATAGAACATAAACTAATCACCATATATAGAACTAAGCAACCAATATCATTGAAAAGTAGAAAAAGGGTTTTGTGAAATGTGAAAATGCAAAAGGAACGTAGATAAAAAATAATAGACTTCAAAAATGCACATTAAAAGATGATCTAGATGACAGATAACTAACGAAAGAGCCCGACGAAGAATGCAAGGTAATTTATAGAAACCGCGAACCACAGCAAAACAGATTTAATTGCGATCATCAAGCAAGTCTAACAACTATGATGACTACGTCTGCCGACCATTTTTACCCACCTGGCGACGAATTTTGATTGTCTGACTTTTTCCCATTTTCTCTTCTAAGAGAAAAATTATCCGTGTCAACCAAATTTTCAACCGAAGAGGAATCGTGCTGATACAGCGGAGATTCCATATCTTCCTCTGTTTGTGAATGCTCGGCTTTTTCTCGCCTTCGCATTTGATTTTCAAGTCGGTTCATTTCTTGGTTTGCCGAGTTCAACTCGTTTAGACTCCGTGATCTCTCCTGGGTCAAAAGAAGCGAAGATGAATCGTAACTATGTTGCTGCGATAAACTTTCATACGATTTATATTTCGCCTGCTGTTTGTTGCTCTCTTTCGGTACAAATCGGCGATACCGCTGCTGATTGCGCTGCGAATCATTATTGTCTCGGTTCAGCGTCGCCGGTCGCAACTCGGCTAGACGATTCGCGTGATCACGGATTGAATCGTCGATTTGTATTTTATTCAAATCATCCACCGATTCTATATGTATAAGTCGTTCTTCGGTTGTTCTTTGAACAGTTTTAATCAAAAAAGTCGGCTCGCTATGAGTCACATCCGAAAGTGAATCCATCCCGTCGAGTTGAACTGTTCTTCCTGTGATTGGGTTATGAGCGAAATATGACTCATTCTCGTGTTTCAAAAGTGTGGTGTGATCTTCGTGAAACGGGTCATATTTTATCATCCTTGAGCCCGGTATTTGTTCACGAGTATTCTGATGAAACGCTAGTTGTTCAGATTGCTTTGCCTGTTTCTCATCCGCATCTTTTGCTGGTTCATTGGGCATAGAAATTTCATTCGAATTCGATTGGTTGTAACCCTTGGGAGAATAAAATGCAGTTAGCCTTGATGTTTTATCGCATGGGGCTTCTTCGACAAATTTTTGGAGATCATTTTCAGGCTTTTTGATTTGGTCCTTTTTGATTTCACGTATCGGCTCTTTTTTGGGATGATTTACAGGATATTTTTCAGCCGGGGGTCGAATATAATCACTCATATTGCTGTTTGGTCTTCTTGGCTCAACAAACGCATTTTGTGAGGTTTGCAAGGGATGATTTGGTTCCCGAGGTTTATTCTTCCGGTCTTTTAGAGCGTTTTTTCTTTCAAGCGATTCTCGACGAATCGTTTTATTCAAGGCTTCTTGGCTCTCAAACCTCTCGATTCCCCGATCAACAAAGCCCTTGTGTTTTGATTTTAACTTATCAGTTCCGTTGATTGATGGGTCATTTCTCGGACTTCTTTTTACTGATGCATAGTTTTCGTTTCCATCAGTGTCAGAAACGTTCAAATTTCTCATTTCTTGCCTTGATTTCTGTTGTTTTTCTTCTCTTTTTATCGACACAGCACTGCTACTTGAACTTGCCTGTACTTTGTATGAACTTGAACTAGCCCGACCTTTCTTGTTACTCACACTGTCTTGATCATTCGGATACCTTGGGTTCCGGCTAGTCATTAGAACCTCCTCCCGGATGTTCGATTCCTGGACATTCGATAACTTGCTTCTCTTCTGTGATTCATAATACTGCTCTGATCTACTACTCGACCGCTGATGATTGAACTCCCATGGCTCTCTGTCGCTTTCTCTCTTCATAGGAGTCGACAGCTCCAAATTGCTGCTGTAAATCCGATCGTCATTGCTGCTTGTCAGTGCCAGAAACCTTTCGCTCACTGGAGCATCTGGTAAGTCACCAGATATAAATTGATCGGGTTGATCCGAATTTTCGAACTTCCGTGGCTTCAACTCATCGACGGGCGGCGGCAACATATCGTAATCTTGGTAAATGTCTTTGACGAGGTATCGCGTGTAGTTTTTATGAACCGGGTCAGATATTTGCTTGCTATGTTTATGTCGGTAATAATCCAAACCTCCCGAACTTGACATTGTCCTGATAATGTTTGCTTCTCTTAGGACCCTTGAGTCATTTTGACCAGCGCTTCTTTTTCTGCTTCTGACATCGATCATGGAAGCTGCTGGAGTATTCATCAAGGAAGTTGCCAAACTGAACGAATTGTCGTCTCTCGGCGCGCGAACTATGTATCTATATTTGCCTCGTTCTATGAAATCGAGATCGATTGGTGTTCTACTCATGCTAACACTGCGACTGTGCAGAATCCTAGACTCCCGCACGTGATATCTGTACTGATATCTCTGAACAAATGACTCATCATAAGGTGAACGCAAAATTGGGTCCCATTCTCGCATCGATTCATGTCGGTTTTGCAGCTCACCGTGAATTAACCTGTAAAAATCGAGTTCCTTTCTCGCTTTTCGCTCTTTTGAATCAAAATGTGCACGAAGTTTGTCGACCAGTCCTTTCGAAATACGGCCAAAATCTTTACTTTTTTGCCTTGCTTTTCTGCCATCTGTTTCATCATTGTCAGCGTAAATTAGGCGAGTGTCAAATAAGTTTTTGACCAGCTCAAAATCTGATTTCGAAGGAGCGACTTCTTTCACAACCTTCGTACCAATTTCATTTTCATCGAAATCAAAAATGTGTGACAAATCAGTTTGTGCATTCAACGATTGGCCGAATTTGTCTTCGTTTTCTAGCATCAGCTCATCGTCCTCTAAATCGGGCACAAATTTTCCCACTTTCCGGCCGAATAACTTATTTTCGCTGGGACTCGGCTTTTGGTTCGAGTGTATTTTATTACTTGCACTAGGCTTTCGGACTGGCCGAGGAATGTTTTCTTCACTAAACCCACGAGAAAACTTGGGTTTTGCTTTTCCAGGCGTGAAAAGAGTGCTTGACTTTTCGCTAGACGGTTCTTGGGTTCCCAACTGTTTCAATTTAGAGTTCGATTTTTTGTAATAATTTGTTTTCCTATAAGATTCAGTTATTTCTTCAGCCAAAATGGGCTTGTTTGGAGTTTGAGATAAACTATTTGCTCTTGTTGGTGATATTTCTTTTTTATTCTGCTTTGTGTATGGTCTTTTGTGGTCATAGACGTCATGAGTTTTCTCGCCTCTCTTGTTTTCTGGAGGCCTCTCTGGTAACTTTGAGGTTTTAGTTTTCGGCTCATGTTCCTTTCTGCGCTTAGTCAAAGGTGAAAAGCTGATTTGGTGATAGTCATTTGACCTGTCCGTGTGATTTTTACTAAGTGGTTTAGAATATGTGCGCTGCTCGGTTTTATCCAAATCATTGACTTTGAAGTCATACTCCAGCTCCGAGTCACTTCCTTCTTGTGGATCATTCATGGCGTCGGAATTTCCTCCGGAAAGTTCCACATCGGCTGTCTCTCTGATTACGTCACCGTCCTTCGCTATTATGTCACCTTCGCTCGTGTACTCGTCATCATCAAGATAATTCAAATACACTTTCATTTCACTCGTCATTAAAGGCACATTTTTTTCTGCTTTTTTCGGTTTTGCACCTGGATTTTTACCGGGACCTGGATCTTCTTCACTCCATTCAGAAGGAGAACCTACCTGGGATCCTTGAGTTAGCAGGAAACAAACACGACGTTTTCCACACTTTTTAACTTTTATCATAATATATATCTGTTAAGCTACTTTTTCAATGAATAAATCTTCATTAAATCAAAAATTTGGTTTCAATTGAATCGAAACAGGTTCGCAATTGTGATGATGGCACCATAAATTGTAAAATCAAAACAACAGTTTTTTTTTTCAGCTGCGGAAATCCAGACTTATGATAATTGGTAATAGTGGTGGTTTTGAAGCGGAAAAAAGTAAAAACAAAGAAATGATAAGGCAAAATTAAAGCGCAACAAAGGAGAATTTCTGTTTGAAAGCCTATCTAAGATATTTCACTTTGCACTGGTGAGCTTTATGGCCGATGATTTTTTTTTCAGTTTTAAATAAGACATTTTTTTGTATCCAACATTTTCATCGCTTTTTATGCAGAATAATATTCAGCAAAAGGTCTTTTTTGGAATAAACAAAGCAAAAACGTGCCATGCTGAGTTCCGCAAATGTTATTCAGCTCTGAGATCGATTTCTTATGGCGCTCATGGTTCATCAAAATGTATATCCTACTACAGTTGTACTAAATTAATTGACTGAAACTGAAAGCTGAAAAACATATCTGGAGAACTGGATAGCTTTTTCTTTGCATTTTAATGTGAAGTGTTAAAAATAAATACGAACAAGCATGAATAAATAAATAACACGTCTGCAAGAAAAAATGGCATGTGTTTGCCAAAAAATGATAGTTCCCAAACATTGTTTCGCGTCATGTCAGGATACAGATTTTTACAATTAATTCGAATATTTTGGAAGTAAGAACTAATCAATTCTGTAATTGAGAATAAAAATCCAACCTCTGTTTCCGTAATGTGGGATGAAGGTTGCAACGCTGTCAGATTCGTTTTCACTCGACAAATTTTCAGTTGATTGTTTCTTGAAACTTCGGATATCCGGCTAAAAATAGTCTAATAAATTAGAACAACCCGCACTCAGTAAAAAGAGAATATGATAGATTATAATAAACTTTTGTTGTCAGTCTCCATGAAATTCAAATTACCGAATTAAAAGAAACTTTAATCTTGTACTTATAGCCACCAGCGGATTCAGGGGGGAACGTTTTCTTTACTCAGGGATTTGGTCCACTAGTTTACACTAATTTTTCCAAAAGTGCCGAAAATGCCTTTTTTGGTCTATTTTTTCAAAATTTTGCCTGCGAAGCACAAAATGTGACCAAAGTAGGATCTTTTTGATGCCTTGGGAGAGCTTCGAATTAATTTAGTCAACCTAAATAAAAGGTCGACAAAATTTTCGAAATTTTGTTTTGAAAATCTGCTCCCCCTTCGAGAAAATCCTAGACCCCTGCTTATAGCGTAAACTTAAATTAAATTTGAATTTTTCTGTGTTTTCGTGCCGAATAGCAGCATTATAATCTATTATAGTTGATTTTTTTGTCAGATAATATTTTGATAGAAAAAGGGATTATAGTCTATTATAATAGATTATAAGAGATTTTAAAAGATTTTCGCAAAAATTATAATCAATTATAATTGATTATAATTCATTAAAATGTCATCAAAAATGTTATAAATAAAACGGATTATAAGTTGTTTTACCAGCAAAAATTGGCTATTATAATTGATTAAAATTTTGCTAAAAGTACGATTAAAATTATTTTATAATCGTTTATTTTTTCTCTTTTTACTGAGTGCGGGAAGTTCTTTTTTCAAGTTTTTTTTTGCAAAAAGTTTCAAATTGGTTTTTGAGCTGGTTTAAAAAGCTACTGAAATGTTTTTATAGATTCGGACCGGTTCAAATATGGTAGCATTTTAAAGTTCTTTCAATCGCGGTTTGATTGAATTCCAAAAAATCGATTTCCGATTTTCGGACCACACATATTTTTTTAAAGTTTTACTACGGTGTTTTAGGTACTATTACTCACATTCTGCATCTTTTAATCTAACTTTATAGCCCTTTACTAAAATAAATCAACAAAAATTAAGTTTGCTTAAAATGTTTTTTAATTTTTGAAAAATTTTAAAACCCTTATTTTGGAAAATTAATGTTAAATTATCGTGGTTGGAATATTCTCGTATGCCATTTGTTTTTCTGATTTAGTACAGAACGCATCCTAGCAGTGTAATGACTTTTGGATTCGCTGTTAATGTTTTCATGTTTTTATTTCTCTCGCGTTAAAGTGCATCAAAAATACATCGGCTGAAAAAACATACTATCACATGGGAAACTCCGATGTTTGTTCCGAATTTCGTACGAAAGTACCGGAATATTTGTGCTCGGATGGGGTTTTGTTTTCAGACAAAATTCCATTTTTAACTAGCCATTTTTGGCAAAATTTTTTAGTTCATTCGAAAGGTATTGTTGTCCTTAGCCTAAATGTGAAAAGATATTTTACCTGTGATAATTTTTTGTAAAGTTATAGGGGTTTAAAGATTGCCATATTGGCCAATTTGAGACAATTAACGCGCGATACATTTCGCGCTCTTAACGCGTAAGCGGAGATTTAATCCGTCTTAGAAATTGTTCCAAATTGGTTGAAAGAAGCTTATTTGCCATAATTGATTTGTTAGTTGGATTGGGGGGATAGTTTTTACAAAAAAATTGCAAATTCTATTTTTTAAAAAAAATTTTAAATTTAACTTTTTCTTTTTTTATTACTTCATAGACCTTGAAAGACAGTCGGAACATTCAGGGCTTTGCCTTGATACGAGCAGTCTTGTTGCAATTTCGATTCGAGCAAAAAATTTTGGCGGAATTTTAAACCTTAAGTTGAGCTATTCGAACGAGTGAATTAATCTTGTTCGCACGGAGATTAAATTACTCATCTGCAGTACACCGTTTTTGTTTCAATTCCCCTAATCGGCTTTTAATTTTTCCAAAATACACAGTTTTTAAAAACACTAAATTATTTTTTTTCAATTAAGCATCTAAATTATAGCGCGTTCAGCGTTTTTTCTCTTTTTCATGAGATAAGTAGACCGCAGAAAATATTGTCAGAAGCTTTTGCAGTATGCTTAAAATCCGGATACTGTTGGATACATTTCATTTTTTAAAATTTGATCAAAAACAAATTGATGTCAAAAAATTATTTAATAGATAGAAATTACTTGGAAGAGATTTGAAGGAAGATCTTCTTCAGAAGTCTCCACCGGAACTTCATCTTCTCCGTATCTTTGATCTCTGTTGTCACTTGGTGCGACTGGCAGGTTTCCTGAAACCTTGTAAGTGTTTTTGGTGGGATAAGTTGAGTTCTGCAAACCATCTCGTCTGTCAACAAAAAGTGGGTTTCTTTTCTCCACCTCTTGGTCAAAGCATCCGAGAGATCTAGGTGCATTGAATTCATTTCGTTCATCGACTGGACCTTGTTTGGAAGGTTTTGTGTCCTTGAAGGGCGACAAATTTCCATTTCTTATTGGCCTCGTGTTTGTTGGAAATTGGTGGCCGTGGCCCGCTCCTCTTGTCTCTCGGATGACCGGATAAATCTCCAAGTCTAGAAATTATTTTTTTTGAAATCATATTCCTGACATCAATTTTTGAGACGTTAATATGGTAAGCTATAACAACTTCAGAAATTTTGAAGACAGTTTAGAAATTTATTTCTGTTGTATTTCCAAAGATGTTCAGGTGAAACAACGCGAACACCTTAAAAGTACGCTGTGTTTAATCAACGAGGTTGAAAAGTCAGTATTATCCTAAACAAGTCATTTTACGATGCCGCAACATTTGGCACATTGAGACGTTTAAACCCAATGGAAAAATAACAGACTTTGGTCAAAATGTGAAGGACAGTTTCTCTGCAAACATTTCATCCCCTCTAAGATTAAAACATATCTTACAGAAGTTAAGTTGCCTCAGCAGAGGAAAATACTTAGCTCCTATCGAATTTAAGTGGACGAATCAACCCAAAATCGGTCAGTAGAACAACAATTTCATAAGTATCAAATACACGCGGCATTTGCAAGGATATTTTTTCTTAATTCCGCATCAATCAACCCCATCACTTGTTCCATAGCTTCTTACTCCTGATTTTTTTTGTGGTGTTTCAATTTTCAAGCATTTAGTTTTCATGAGAAAATGAAGAGCTCCTTAATCACAGTCGTACGTAATATTGGTTGAAATAATTAATGCCCAAAAACTTATCACATCGCTGAAAGACTTCAGCGAAAACTGCACATCATAGATTTGCGCAGCATCATCAAAAGGAACAACTTGCAGAGTCAGATGTAAACCAAAAAATAGATCATATTTTCCCCATTCTAGCTACTAGTACCGAGGTCCGCGAACAATGTTGCGCCCGAATTGAGTCGCCAAAATGGACTTGTTGCGACCGAATTTCCACGCTCCCGCAAGAGGCTTGAGTCGCAACATAGCTAAGAATACGTCGCGCAAAGTCGCAACATGAGTCGCGCAAAGTCGTAAAATGAGTCGCGCAAAGTCGCAAAATGAGTCGCGCGAAACATTAGTCGCAGCATGGGTCGCGCGAAACATTAATGGCAGCATGGGTCGCGCAAAATCGCAACATGAATCGCGCATTATAAAATGTTTCGAGCAGTTTGATGGAATTTTTGTCTGTTCTTTTTGCTCGCATAAGCGTAATACAGATGCTGATTGTAAAATATTCCAGTATATATGTAATTTTATTATGCAGCAAGCTAGACCGACATATTTGCTGATCAAATACAGGATTACCACAAAAAGGCCTGCACATGGTCCCAAAACAAAATATAAGCAAATTGCTTGGGGCACAAAAATCGAAATATGAAAACCATTAAAAACTTTCTTGAGCCATGAATAATAAAGCCCGAAATTATTTTTTTTATAAATTAGCTCGAAATTGTTTTTTGAATTAATTGTGGTTGTACCATTGTTGGATGGTTAATGCGCGCCATTTATCAGTGATCTACTAACGCGTAACCTAGATGGCGAATCAAACCGGCTCAGAGAATAATCCAAACTGAATTGAGACAAATTTTACGTTTTTTTTTCTTTTGCTAGACGGTGCAAGTTTCTCTTGAGTTTTGCTTTTGTTGTTACAAGGAAAATTTGCTTCTGTGTTACATTTGAAATCAGGGAGTACCTAATTAGTTTAGGTCCGAGGTGGCCTTCTCATAGCGTAATTTTGGAAAAGGGTACACCGCCTGCGCTGTCTATTTTGGCCGAGTACGTTCGTGCAACTCCTAATTCATATACCAATCCTAATCTTACTCTTATATTTCGTAATCTCAATAGATCTAGATATATACTGGTTTATTGGGAAGTTAGAGGAGAGAAGAAAGCAACTGATTCGTTTATGATTTTTTTTCTCTGGCTGAAACTGCGAAAAGTTTCAGCTTTAAAATTTATTCTAAGTTTTAGTCATGGATCATGATTAGTAAGTTATTAATATTTTCCAGTGAGAAATATCGAGGTATAAAATAAATACTTGTTTTAAACTGGTTTCAATAATTTCAGCGGTGTATAAAAAAGTTCAGCTGGAAAATATTCGTTTGTTCGCCAAAATGGTCCGAATAGAAAAAACCTCCGAAAGTCGGAACAATTCAGAAATATGTGAAACTGGATAAAATCTGCAGCTGACTGAATAATCAAACAATATGAAAAAAAAAATTCAGTTTTCGCGCTCGTTAAGTTTTTCAGGTCGCGTCCGCAAAATAAAGTGATAAAATTTGAAATTTGCATTCAACAATTGCTTTAAATTGATGCGTAAATGAAAGTGGACAAGCAAAAATAGCCTAAATTCCGAAGCAATAGATGTGCCAACGACTATCTTTCCTCCGGTTAGCACTTCGGAATTTGAACTATCAATGGACTAACTTCGTTGAAAATCCTTGAGACAAGTGAAGGCGGATGTTTTTCGCACGTGCTAATAATATAGTTTTGCAGAATTTAAAAGCTTTTGTTTAGCTGATTTGTTTCTCAAAAAGTGCTTCCTCTATGCGTTCAATTGACATAAATACAGAAGTTTAACTTTGGATAGACTTAGTCAGGTTCGTGGCTCCGACTATTACTTGTTCTTTGGCTCTTTTTCGGTCGCCGGAACGAATCGTCAAGAATTTCTGTTGCAAAAGACCCCTAAATGTCTTTAAGTTTGACGTGAAAAGTGATGAAATTGGAGAAAATAGTTTTTTATTTGGTTTATGGGCATGAAAAGCCTTTGAAACAATTTGGTAAACTTATTGCTAGTATTTTTGGCTCTTTTCCAGTCCACTTTTGTCTGTAATTCATTTTACAAAAGTTTATTTAAAATTTCTTTCCATGTTTTAAACCTCAATGAAATCGTGTCAGCAAATTATTACAAGATTTCATCTATGCAAATTTTTTTTTCAATTTTACGAGGGGGGTGGTAAACTGGAAAAGAGCCGCATTTTGTCTTTTAATGAAAACTCGCCAGCTATTGCAATTTTGTCGAGCATAAAATGGAAAAAGAGCCAAGTTTAACTGTATCGAACTGAGGAGCGTGGATGGGCGGTGAAATGGGCACCCAAGGTGGCTCGCCGTCCCCTGCCGACAAGAACAGAAGGTGTGCCTAGACCACTTGTCCGAATGTGTCCCATAAAAATACCGGCTCTTTTCCAGAAAATTAAGTAATAGCGCCAGAATGTTCATTGTAAGAAAGTGGAATTTGCGAGAAAAAAAATGCATATCTATCAATTTCTCAGAAATTTTGCATGATACAGCGACTGAATCAGCTTGGGTTCTTTTTCACTCCCGATCCTTTCAAAGCATTTACTTCCATAGATGATTTACGTGTTATTATGGCTTATAGTTGTACTACGGCATGGTGTAAAGTATGAAGAAAAAATCTGTTCATAGTTGTAAGTTTGGGCTCTTTTCCAGTCCCCCCCACCTTTCAAAATACCGAGTTTTATGTTTGTTTTACGAGTTATTACGGCTAAATGCGTGATGTTACGCTGTAAAGTATGAAGAACAAATCTGCTCACAGTTGTTGATTTGTTCACCACGCTAAATTTCATTGCATTATGACAAGGTTAAATAAGCTTTTCAAAGTTGAATATGAAGGGGGGGGGGGGGGGAACTGGAAAAGAGCCTAAGTTTGTTCACCATGTCCAATTTCATTGCATTGTGATTGTGTTAAATTACTTTTTCAAAAATCAAATTGAACTTTGGGGTAGGAGAAGATAAAAGGGCCTCAGTATTTTTTCGAATTATGCTTTGAACAAGGTTTGACGTAGTTATTTTTATATGGGGTGTTTCTGTCGACTTTTATGTTTTGTATATTCTGTCGAGAAAAGTTTATTTGTTTTAAAAGCTATAAGTACAATATTTGCCAGAACAAGTGTCTTGTTATCGTGTTATCGTTATGTTTTGGAGCAATTTTGAGCGGTACATAGTTTTGGATTTTTGTTTGAGGAATCCAAAACAGCAAAAAAGATCCAAAATAAGTAGCAATGTTGTGGATTCTGAGACAAACCTGATTTTAACTTTCTGCGGAATCCCCTTTTAATGCACAGATTGCACAGTTTGACCTTGTAATGATTTAGAATGAATGAAATTTTTTTGCTCAATTACAAAAAAGAAGGAGTTGAGTGTACGACAAAGCAAAAATAAATTCAAAACTCGACATTTTTGTATTGCAAAATAACTTTCTTCAATTGAGAAAGAAAACTGAAATTACATTCCAAGAAAAGTATGAAAATAGCATATAACATATAAAAACAAGGACAGCCGGTTACTGTGCAAGTAGCACAGATTGTTCTGACCCTAGTCTTAAAAAAAGACAACATTTTTTTTTCAAACTTTTGTCTTATTGACGTTTTTTTTTCGGCGTAGTGTATTAGGTATATCAAGTAAAAAAAACTGGGTATAAAAAAATTGGGGTTAGGTCTATTTGACAACCATACTGAAATACAGAAAAAAAATTTTTTTGGAAATTACCTAGAAAAACGAAAAAAACATTTTGAAAAATTATCGAAAAGTTTTTCAAGTTTTTTGCAGTTTTTTGAATTTTTGAAAAACTGATTCCAAAAATGGGTTACAAAGCTCAAAACAAACTAACGTTATCCATGTACAGCTATTTGTTTACGTTTCAATTTAGGCTATTTACACCGAAGACTTTAGTCAAGGTGTTATGGTATCGTGTAACGGGTTTTTTTTTTAATGTTGTCTGTTGTCAAGTGTCGACAAATAACGTCCACAGTTATCAATTATCATGTGGGCTAGACTATATCGCGCTATGTCACGTGATTGCGTATGTTTGTTTCTTTATTTGTTCATCTTTATTTATTTAATTATCTGTTCTTCTATTTATTTAATTATGTTTAGTTTGCTTATATTTATTTATAATTTATGTATGTACATAAATATTTTTGTTTATTTTTATCACGTGTTTTGTTTATTTATTTATTTATTTATTTATGTATTTATTTATGTATTTATTTATTTATTTATGTATTGATTTATTTTTTTATTGCTTATTTATTTATCAGGTGTGTTTTGTTTATTTGTTGATATTTATTTCTATATTTATTTAAT